TTACTGCAAAGATTTGTTTTTGGCGACTTGCAAAATTTGCACTCACCACATTGTGGAATGAAGAGTGGAACGACATGATCGCCTGGAACAAAAAAAAATTTCAATAATCAAATTATATTTTTTTTAGATACTATTTACAATATAGCTTAGAAAATTATATTATAATTATTATTATATAATTTTTTAATTTCAGGTCTTTTAAAAATAATTGAAATTTGATAAAATCTTTTAAAAATAATTGAATTTTTGAAAAATATAAAAAAAATAATCAGATTTTTAAAGTAAATTTAAAAAAAATTTAATTTAATTTTCAAATAATTTTTCAATAGTCGAAAAAAATTATAATATTCAAGGTCTGGAATTTATATGATGTAAGATAAGAAATTCACCCGGTTGGAATTCTTTAACGCCTTCACCGACGCTTTCAACGAGTCCGGCACCCTCGTGACCCAGAATGCAGGGGAAAATTCCCTCAGCGTCGAAACCATCTAATGTGTTAGCGTCAGTGTGGCAAATACCATTAGATACAACTTTTATTCGCACTTCATGTGCCTTAGGAGGAGCGACTTCAATTTCTTCAATTGATAATGGTTCTTTTTCCTTCCAAGCAACTGCAGCACGACATTTGATAACCTTTCGTTTTTAAAAAAGCATTTATTAGAACTAAAAATAATAATCGAAGTACATAGTAATTAACATCATTATTATTCTCATTATCATTATTATTACTATCATCAACAATTACATATTTAGATATTCCCTGCCGGAAGAATGGACTGAAAAAGTACTGAAATTGTACTGGCCTCCAGTACAATTTCAGTCCGTTTTTTTTAATGTTTCGGTAGACATTTTTAAAGTCCTTTAACAATAGTTTCAAATGTAGGTTATGCCAACAAACCATTGTTAACACTTTGGAAGTGAAAATAAAAAAAGGTTAACAAAATTTTCAACGAAATTCCCGTTAAATTTTAAACTTATATTGCAACTCCTGCTTTAACAATAGACTCGAAAGCCTATTGTTGTATGGGATTATAATTTTATGGCTTAAAAAGTTTACAATTTAAATAATTCAATTTTCAAAACAAAAAAATTTGAATCTGTAATGTTTTATGATTACAAATATCTAAAATTCATTATAAAAACTGTTTAATTAAAAAATAGTTATAAACTATCTCGCAAACTCTAATTGTTACGTAAAAACATTTTCGAAATATAATTGCCCTACGATCTTTATATTTTTCGCTTGTTAGATCGCAGATTGAGTTTCTTTCAGTATTATGGCATCCTTATCAAGCTGAACTTATGATTGAACTTGAGCTTGTACAGAATGTTTTTCTGCGTTCTGCAGCTAAACAAACTGGTTTGCGTTATGATTTTTATAGTCATGATTACACTGAATTACAGTCTGTACTGAATATCCCCCCGCTCGCTACGAGATTTTATTTATTTTTTTAAGATAATTAATGGGTTGGTTGATTGTCCTTTTATTTTAAGTTTACAGTGGAACCTCGATTATCCGAACTAACCTAGGCAAGGTCGGGTTCGGATAATCGAGATTTTAATTTTTTTTATATAATTAAAGTAAAAAAATCGACAGTTGAATTATATATATTTCATTTAATCCATTTTTTAAATATACATCAGTATATATACGCGTAAATATATATTAATTCATAATAATATATTAATAAAACATAGAATTCAGAATTTTTAAAGATTTTTCTGGCATAATTATCGTTATTTTTCTTTGAAAGATTCGGGAGGTCAAAAAAAAGTTCGGATAAAATGATTTTCGGTTCGGATAATAGAGGGTTCGGATAACAGAGGTTCGAATAATCGAGGTTCCACTGTATTTCAATTTTATGTTCCACGGAAAACTACTCGTCGATCACAATTACTAAAACTACCAACTGCCAGAACATGTTATCTTGATAATTCTATTATTAATAGACTTAGTGTGGAGGCAAACAAATATAATGATCTTATAGATTTTTTTGGAGTTACTCTTAGTGCGTTTGTAAGAAATTTGCGTATCATAACTACGGATGTGAATAATAATGCAGCCAGTTAGCCTTTAGTTATTAATTTAAGTACAGTCATTAGTTATTTTAGTACTCTGTACGAAAGGGTCTTACCCGTCAACTTCTCGAATAAATAAATAAATAAATAAAAACGGATATTATTTTTGAATTTAGATTAACATGAATATTTAGCATTCATAATAATTACTTGTAAAGAATCTGAGTTCATGAAAAACAAATATAATGTTGAAATATAAATAAAAATTATTTTTAACACTAGCCAAATTATCCGCGCGCAAGCGCGCGGGAATGTTGTGTTACACTGTTTATTGTAAACAATTTCAAGTCATTTTAATTTAAGTAATTTTTAAAGAAATACTTATTATGACACATAACTGAAAAACTAATTAGAATTAAATTTTCAAATTATATTATATTTCTAAACTTTAAAGTACATAAAAAAACATTAACAAATTTTGATACTAATTTCAAATTTTACATCAGATTTTCAAAATTGAAAATAATTAAACTTTCTTGTACGAGGTAAATTGAATTTCGTAAAAATTGATATTTGACACCTAAATTAAAAATAATCTTTAACTTTCTGAACAAAGAATATAAATTATATTTTTTTTAAAAGAATTTCCACTATTTTAAATTTGCTAATTTTCAAAAAAATTTCGAAAAAATCAATTATTTAACAAAATTTTATGCAATTTATTTTTCACAATAATTCAATTACTTTCACTAATAATAAAATTTTTCATGAAAAATCAATTAAAAAAAAAAATTTTGATTACATTCTAAGCAAGAATTTAATTATTTTCATAAATAATAAAACTCATCGAAGAATTTCAATTATTTTCATTACTATTTTAAATTAATAATCGAAAAATTCAGTTATTTTCACACAAGAATTCAATTATTTTAAATAATAAAATTTTCATAATATTTATTATATTTTGAAAAAATAATTATTTAAAACAATGTTTATAAAATTCTACTAATGAATTCACCTACTTTCAAAAATAATAAAATTTTTTACAGAAATCCAATACTTTTTAAATATTTTAATAAGCTTTTCCACAATAATTCAATTATTTTCAAAAATAATAAAATTCTTATCTGTAATTCAATTATTTTCATAAATAATAAAATTCATAGCAGGATTTCAATTATTTTTAATACAATTTTACAGGAATTGCTCAAAAATTCAATTATTCTTAAAAACTTAATTTCAATTCCTCGACAAAAATAAATTATTTAAAAAAATGTTTTTTTTAAATTCTATGGAAGAATTGAATAATTATTTTCAAAAATTTAATAAAATTGTTCGAATGAAATTAATTGTTTAAAATACAATTTTAATTAAATTTTTTTGAAATAATTCAATTTTTTTAAATTTTAATAACATTTTTTCTAAGAATTCAATTATTTACACAAATAATTTTTCGAAAGAATTCAATTATTAAAGATAAATAAAAAAATTACTCCCGAAAATTCAATTATTTTCAGGTATTTTAATAAAATTTTTTTCAAAATTCAATTATTTTCATAAAGAACAATACTATTCATCACAATAATTCAATTATTTTTAAAAATAATAAATTTCTTCTTGAAAATTCCATTATTTTAAAAAATTCTAGTAAATCGTTTGCAAGAATTCAATTATTTTCATAAATAATAAAATGTTTTTTAGGAATTTAATTATTTTCAACAAAATTTAATCAAATAAATTTGTCCTGAAAACATTGAAAATTTTTAAGGTCCTGAAAACATTCTAAGTTAAAAAAATTTAATAAAATTTCCCACAGACATTCAACTATTGACAAATTTTTTAATAGAATTCTTTGTAAAATTTAATTATCTTTAAAAACTTTTCGCAATTCAATGATTTTCAATATCTACTATTTTCATAAAATTTCCAAATAGAATTCAATTATTTAAATAATGGTTTGTAAAAATTCAATTCTTTTCATGAATAATAAAAATTTTCATCAATTCAATTATTTAAATTATTAAATTAGAATTTGCATAAAATTATTCGAAAGAAATGAATTATTTAAAAATTTTTATAAAATTCTTCGCAAGAATTAAATTATTTTAAATTCTTTCATGAATAATAAAATTCGTAGCAGAAATTCAATTTATTAGCAGGATAAGAAAAAAGTAAATATTTTTGATGAAAATTAGGAAAAAGTCAGGAAAATAAAAAATATGTAATGGAAATTTTGTCAATTTTGTGAAGTGAATAAAACGAGTTTTTTTTTCGTTTTTTTTGACATTAAAAAAAATAAAAATAACCCACAAAATTTAATTTTCAAAACAAACAAATGAATGCAGATAATTTGCTAACGGAAAGGAAACTTACGATTATTATAATGTATATTAACAAAGAAATATTCGTCCTTCAACTTAATGACGGTCAAGCCATAAGCTTATTATTTTAAAATTAAAAAAAAAATTTTTTTTGAAATTTTATTATTTTAAAAAAATAATTCTTAAATGGGATTTAAAAATACATAAATATATAAAAATCATAAATTTAGTTTCATACCTTGCCGGTCATATCAGCCATGTTGGTAATTTCCAAATTGTCAAAAAACTATTTAAATTAAATAGTGTATTATGCAAATACTTATTTATGAATGAATCGGTATTCACTGTTATTAATTAAATAATTACCCTGCCCCACTGGCGCTACAAGTATGACGTAATTTTAGTTTGTCCATTTCTTTTCGATCTCGTAATTAAAAGTGACTGAACCAATTGAAAAACGATTCTTTTGAAGAAGAGAAATAGTAATCCACCAATCAGAACGTACTTACAGTCAGTTGTTATTAGCATTGTGTACAAAGCCTTAGAATTTTGACAGTTTGTTGACATGAACCTAACCTCAAAACTGATTGAAAATATTGAGACGATTGTCGATTGAAAACATTCAAACGATTCATTTTTTATCCATATTTTCTAAAGGATTTTACCAAAAGAACATCAGAAAATTAATAGGATTTATTACGAATTTCAATATTCAAAAAGAAACATAAATCTTTACGTAGAAAAACGAGAAAAACTATTTGATGTACATCTGAAAATCAAAGGTAAGAATTTGTTTTCATTTTCGCAGAAAGCCTTTTTTCTCGGACATTAAGATTTTTATTTTCATCTGTTGAAAAAGAAATTTTGTTTTATTTTGTATTGGAAAATTTCTCATCATTTCTCATGCCATTTCGACTGTTTTTTTTTGTTACTAATTTTGGTTTCTTGCGCTACTTATTTAAACTTTTACAAAATTTGTCTCATTACTCTTGACTAATGTTTATTTTTCTAGGAATTATTTTTTACACGTGAATAAGTATAGAAAATATTTTTGTATTAATTTGTTTGTTCTATAAACTAAGATAAGTAAAGAGTTACATTTCTTTTTTGAAAATTATTTGGGCAAATTTGTTTGACTTGAATGGAGAAGAAAATATCAATTTCCTATATAGTAGGCCTCGCACTCATCTACTAAAACTTACTATTTACACTACTATTTAATATCTACTATTTAAAAAAAAATTTAACAAAAAGAATTGAATAATTTTAAAAAAATGTTTATCAAATTCTTCGCAGAAATTAAATTATTTTCATAAATTTATATAAAATTCTAAAAAACAATTCAATTCTTTTCAAAAAGAATAAAATTCTTCGCAAAAATTCAATTATGTTAAAAATATTAATAAAATTATCATCAAAATTTCAATTATCTTTAGAAATAATTAAATTCTTTTCCGAAATTCAAAAATTTTCCTCAATTTAATAATTTTTTTTAAAAAAGAGTAAAATTTCAAATTTTTAATAAAATTCTTCAAAAGAATTTAATTATTTTTACAAATAATACATTTTTTGAACAAGAATTCAATTATTTAAATAATATTAATAAAATTTGTTGCAAGAATTCAATTATTTCCATAATCAATAAAAATTCTTCAGAGGAATTCAATTATTTAAAAAAATTAATAAACTTTGCAAAATTCAATTACTTTTAGAAGTATTAAAATTCTTCGCAGAAATTCAATTAGTTCTTAAAAATTTTAATAAAATTCTTTGCAAAAATTCAATTATTTTTAATATAATTTTTAATTAATTCAGCTAAGAACGCTATTATCTTAAAAATATGAATAAAATTCTTGGAAAAAATTCAATTATTTAAGAAAATTTGATTTAATTTATTTCTTAGAGTGTTATAATTATTTTCAATTCATTTTTAATTACATTTCTTGAATGAATTTAATTAATTTCAAAAATTTAAATGCAATTTTTCGTAAAAATTCAATTACTTAAAAAATGTTGATAAAATTTTTTATAAGAATTCAAATTTAAGAAATATTTAATTATTCAATAAATTATTTATTTTTAAAATTAAATAATTGAATTCTCGTAGAATTTTCTAATAAGAATTGATTTAGAATTGAATAAAATAAATGGATAAAAGTTTTGAATAATTTTATTTATAAATTTAAAGAAAAAAATGATTGAATTTTGAAAGAATTACTTTTGTAATTTTTAGAAATAGTTAAATTTCAAAAATGCGTTACATTTAAATCATTTGAAATATGTATTTTAATTCCTGTAGACAAAATAAATTGGTATTTAAGTATTTATTTTAAAAAATTATTCTATTCTTAAATGTAATTTAATTTAGAAATTATGAAAAAATGGAGTCCTGTTTAATTTTTAGATAACTACTTTATTATTTTTTTCTATCTTTAAGATTCTTTTTGCTACATTTTTAAAATTAATTATCGTGTACGAAGCCTGCTATAGAAATTACTAAGATAATTGATAATTGAAAATTGAAAACATTAGTCATACAAGTTTGCTTGAAAACAAAATGAAGTACAAGACAATTTTTTTCGATGAATATTATTTGCCCCCACAGGCTAAAAAGGAAGAAAAAAAACAAAAAAAAAATGGTCGCCAGTAGTGCTGCAGGACAGAAACTTCTATTCTTCTATTGCTCCTTCACTTGTGTCTATCTACCTGGAATCTTAATTCTCCTGAAATTCAACAACAATCTTTACAATGTGGGAACATATAAATTTATGCCAATTCTTTTGATTCTCATATTGGCGGAAGTTGTAAAACTTTCATTCTCCTTACTACTGCAAACGGATCAACAAGTTTTAGTGAAAAATGAATCGCGAACGAATCAAAAATCACGGAAATCCTGTTCAAAGGCATTAAAATCAGTGATGAAATTCTTCGTTAGCTCATTATTACTCTCAATTACTTACTATACGATTATTATTCTATTTGGAGCACCTGTACTTTCGCTTCGTGAAGAAACGATAATGTTGACATTAACTTTAGTCACTTTAACATTTGTGCCAGCGTGTTTACATTTGGGAATTGATAATGCTCTTGTACTTTTATTTGGTGTGCCGTCAGATATTTTCGCCGAGTACATTAAGACAAATGTGAAATTCACATTGATGGGCACGTGGCTTGGAGCGATTGCGATTCCTCTTGATTGGGATCGTCCTTGGCAAGCGTGGCCAATTCCCTGTGTCACTAGTGCTCTAATTGGATATACTTTAGCGCATTTTTTCACTCTCGTTGGCATGCTACCGATTATGAAGAATGCCAAAGCCAAATTTTATCGATAGCACAAATAGAAAAATTTGATTAATTATTATTTCCATTCGAAAATCGGGATTTCTCATTTTTGCATTTAATTTAAAAATTATGCATTTTACGATTTAAAATTTACAATTTAAAATTTACAATTTAAAATTTACAATTTACAATTTACATTTTACAATTTACAATCTTTCCTTTTAGTTAGAATATTCGAAGACTTTTTTGAAAGATGCTTTTGCAATTACAATGAAATTTAACAAATGAGAAAAATTTTCGTTTTGTGTTACAATCTTTACTTTTAGTTAAAATATTCGAAGACTTTTTTTTAAAGATGCTTTTGAAATTACAATGAAATTTAACGAATGAGAAAAATTTTTGTTTACTTTTAGTTAGAATATTCGAAGACTTTTTTTTGAAAGATGCTTTTGAAATCACAATGAAATTTGACGAATGAGAAAATTTTTTGTTTTGTGCAATAAGAAACAATGAGACTTAGTTAACTAATTATAATCGTGTTGCGATGAAATGTTAATAGTTATAAGGAAACATTTTGTACAAATTTCGAGCGCTAATCGTTTTCCATTTTTTTTATCACTTACAAAGAAAAATTGTAATATTCGACAATTTTTCTGTTTAAATTGTAGAAAACGATTCCATCTAGTCAACTTTTCAATTTTTCTGAAAATTTCCACTTGTTTGAAAAGCTCTGCTAAAAAGTACATTAAGAAAAAAATATAATAAACAATAATTATAAATTATCGTTGATAATTTATAGCTATTGTTCATTAAATAGTTCATTAAATTAATTCATGAAAATAATTAATTTTCAACAAGTTATTAAATTATGGAAAAATGTGTATTAATGAAAATAAATTTAATTCTTTTTGGAATTTGCTCTTCTTACTTTCCATGAGTTTTTTTTTTTATTATTTTAAAAACAAATATATTTTTTTTAAAACTGTTACAGAAATACTTAAAAAGAGATTTAAGGATTTTTTAGAATTGAAGGCGATGATTGAAAGCACTGAATTATTAGTTTTGGAAGCTTTGCAAAAAGGTGTGTATAGAAGTTGGAAAAATATTTTTGAAAAAATTTTGAACTAATTACTAATTGAGGTTGTATTTAATTTTAGAGAATTCTTTGAAGACTGTGAATAATTATGGAGAAACGTTATTACACATTGCTGCATCTAATGGCTGTGGAAAAATTGTAGAAGAAATTCTAAAGAAGTCATGTTTTGAAATTGATCACAAAAACGTTTTCGGATGGACACCACTTACACAAGCAATCAGAAATGGAAAAATTGATTGTGTCAAGATTCTTATCGATAATGGAGCAAACGTTAATCACGTCACTTATCTAGGTGGATCATTTTTTTTTTAAATTAAAAAAATTAAATTAAAAATTTAAAAAAAAAATTGAAATTTGAAATTCAAAAAACAAATTTTATTTTAGGCTTCAAATAGTTTGATTTTTGAGAATTTTAGAATTTTGACAATATTTTAGACAGTTTTCATGAGAATTTTATTCATAAATAAGAAAATTATTTTTTGGAATTCAATTATGTTCACAATATTAATAAAATTCATCGCCGAATTTCAATGGTTTTTATTACAGTTTTAATCAAATTTCTCGAAAAGTGTAATTATCCCAAAAGATTTTATTAAAATTCGTCAAAAGAATTCAATTATTTAAAATTTTGTTAATTAAATTCTTTATAAGAAATCAATTTTTAGAAAGATTCAATTATTTAATAAATTATTTATTTTTGTATTTAAATAAATTTAAATTTAATAAAATTTTAAAGAATAATATTGAATTTTTCGTTTTTTTTAAATTTTCAATTAAAATTAAAATTCTATTAAGAAATTGAAATTCTGCAGTGAGTTTTATTGTTTGTGAAAAAAAATTGAATTCCTAAAAAGAATTTTATTATTTGTAAAAATAATTGAATACCTGTAAAAAATATGAATATTTATTATTTATGTAAATAATTGAATCCCTGCAAAAACTTTGAATATTTATGAAAATAATTGAATTTCCTGAGAAATTTTTCTTATTTATAATTTGAATGTTTGCCTAGAATTTTGTTCAAACTTTTTAAAAATATTTTAATTCTTTTAGGAAAATTCATTAAAATACCGTAGATATTAAAAATCATTGAATTGAGGAAAATTTTTGAAAATAATTTAAATTTTGCCAAGAAAATTTAAAAAAAAACAAATTTTTTTAAAATAATTGAATTTCTGCGAAGAATTTTGTTATTTATGAAGATAATTGAAATCGTGACGAGAATTTGGAAATAGTTTTGAAAAATAATTGAATTTCTGCGAAGAATTTTATTACTTTTGAAAATAATTGAATTTTGCAAAGAATTTTACTAAAATTCCTGAAAATAATTGAATAAATATTTCTACAAAATTATTAGTTTAAAGTATGAAAAATTCAAATTTCAAAAAATTTTAATTTGAAACCTTTTTCAAAATTCAATATATTTCTAATTCACTGTATAAATTTAGGAAAATCAATTCTGAACAAATCGATTTGAAAATTCTCAAAGAACTTTTTGTCAACTTTAATAATTATTATAATTATAAAACATGTTTTCTATCCATGGCCTTTGAAAAATATTTCTATTCGAAAATATGTAAATTTCCATTCAATTGAAAATCAACAATTTTAATATTAATTTCAGGAATGTCGGCTATTGGATTAGCAACTGCAATAGGGAGCGAAATGTTTGAAATAATTTACAAAGCTTCACCCTCCGCCCTTGGAATTGCAGCTCAAGACGAAGTTTGTCCACTGAGTATAACAGCGATGAAGAATGACAAAGACTTGTTCTTTCGACTCTTGGAATTGGGTTTGGATATTTCTAAAGCAAGTGAGTAAATTTTCGAAATTTAATATTAAAAAGAAACAATAATTAATTTTTTTTAATAATCAATTTTTTTTCATTTTTCAAATAATTTCTTTTTTTAGTTTTGTATTTTGGATTAATACCCAAAATACAAAACTAAAAAAAGAAATTATTTGAAAAATGAAAGAAGAAGAAAAATTGATTTCAATCTATTTTCTCAATGTTTGCAGATATTTTGGCTCATTGTGTGATAAAATCGTCACGTATTCAGGAAATATCTTCGCTGGCGAAACTTCCCGAAGACGTTGAATCCTTTTGGAACGATTGCTCGGATAATATAGAAATTTCCGAAGAGATTGACAGTAATAATAATAATAGACAAATAAATAAGATGGGAAAACATTTACCAAAAATATTTATTGAAGATACTGACGCAAAATTAGTGGATCAAGTGAATAATGAGACTTCAGAGCATAAAGGTGGAATTTTCTTTGATAAAACAAATGAGTGTAATCCCATATCGCCAACTCTTACCTACAATTTCGATGGTGCTTATCCTCCATCACCGAGAACAATTTTTCCCGATGGTGGAAAATTTTTTGAAAATCCAACCGAGAAGAAAATGGAATTAATCACTGATTTTCAAAATGGTGATTGTGGAATAAAAAGGTACATTTCTAAAGTATAAAAAACCCTAATCTAAAATATTGATTGTCTTTTATATTGTCTTTTAAATTTAGGTGTAAAAATATTCGTCCTCCGGATTTGGTACTAACTCACGAGGATCAATTGGACTTTAATAATAGTTTGAGTTTCGTTCCTGAATACAGTCCGACAAAGTCGCCACTCGTTCCACCGGAAATTGAAGACGAAGACGCAGTGTTCGGTGACATAACTCCGACACAAGCGCAAGAAAAAACTCCGCCAGCAGCTTTTATTTTCAATCCAAAAGATGCTCCTATGTCTTTCTTTCTTCACAGTTACGGACTTGGACGTTTTATTCCCATTTTTTTGGAACAAGAGGTACAAAAGTTAATTTTTTCTTAAAAAGGAAATTATTTTTTAATCAATGAGTTTTTTCTCGTTTTAAATTAAAAATTAAATTTCGCATAAAAGAATAATTTCCATAATTAGAATAATTACAGGCTTTGCACTCATCTACAAAAACCTACTATTTACTACTTTCTTTACGATTTCCTACTATTTGGATACTTTTTTTTATTTGTTACACAAAAAGCTACTCTTCAATTATTTAAAACAAAATTTTCAAATTTTTCGAAAAAAATAAATTATTTAAATAGATTTCTATAAAATTCTTCGCAAGAATTCAATTATTTATGTAAATAATAAAATTTTTCTCAGGAATTCAATTATTTTTTTAAAATTTTACCAATAATCGTTGCAAGAATTCAATTATTTTCGCAAATAATAAAATTCGTCTAAAAATTAAAATTATTTATCAAAAGTATAATAAAATTGTTCTCAGAAATTCAATCATTTTCTAAAATTTTAATAAAATTCTTTAACATGATTCAAGTATTTTCGCAAATTTTTCTTAATTCAATGATTTTTAATATCAACTATTGTAATAAAAATATTCCAAAAGAATTGAATAATTTAAAAAATATTTATAAAATTCTTCGTAAACATTCAATTATTTTTAAAAATAACAAAAATTTTCACAGGAATTCAATTTTTCGAAAAAAATCAATTATTTGAATAGATTTTCGTAAAATTCTTCGCAAGAATTCAATTATTTAAAAAAATTTGATATAATTTATTTCTTAGAGTGTAATAATTATTTTCAATTCATTTTTAATTACATTTTTTTAATGAATTTAATTATTATCAAAAATTTTAAAGCAATTCTTCGTAAAAATTCAATTATTTTTAAAAATATTGATAAAGTTCTTTATAAGAATTTAAATTTAAGAAATATATTTGATTATTCAATAAATTATTTATTTTTGTATTTAAATAATTGAATTCTCGTAGAACTTTCAAAAAAGTATTGATTTAGAATTGAATAAAATAAAATGATTAAAGTTTTGAATAATTTTATTAATAAATTTTAAGAAAAAATGATTGAATTTTGAAAGAATTACTTTTGTAATTTTTTTAGAAATAGTAAAATTTCAAAAATGCGTTACATTGAAATCATTGGAAATATTTTAATTCCTGTAAACAAAATACATAGGTATTTAAATTTTTGTTTTAAAAAATTATTATATTTTTGAAAATTATTATTTTTTTTTTTTGTAATTAAGAAATTATAAAAACATTGAGTCGTCAAGTTTAATTTTTCGATAGCTACTTTTTCGCTACTTTTTTTCTGTCTTTAAGCTACTTTTTGCTACTATTTTTAAAATTAATTATCAAGTACGAAGCCTGTAATTATAGAAATTTAATATTCAAATTAAAATGAAATTAATGAAATAAAAATTTTAAAGAAGAATGAAATTTATGAAATAAAAATTCTAAATAGGTGGACGTTGAATTATTTTTAACACTGAACAATGAGGATCTGAAAGAAATTGGTGTTGAGAGTGAAAACGAAAGGCGCATTATACTTTCTGTGATTGATGAAATTAATGATACTGAATCAGATAAATGAAGGATGATCTAATATTTTTTATTTTTATTTATTCGAAAAAAAATTGTTAATCTTTATTCATAATTTTATTTTTCGAAGAGAAAACGAGCTTTATCAATAATATCTTAATTTTTTTATTCAATTTCTACGAAAATATGTATTAGTAAATAATAAGTAAATAATTTTGCAGAAATTTAAATTACAAGAACTAAAAAATAAAAATAGCGTTTATTTATCATTTTTTTACAAAATTCTATTTTCTGTTCTTATATAATTATAATTACATGGTTGCTACAATATTCTTTAGGGTGAAGGAAAAAGTCAACATTTTGTCTGAAAATCAGGGAAGAGCAAAATTAAATTTTATTTTTGTCGCTGCTCTGAATTTTCATATCGATTTTGACGATAAGGGTTCAAAAATTTTTACATTTTGATCTTTTCATTTCTTGCAAAATGAAATTTTTGTATGAAAATACATTGGTGTAGACATCGGGAAATCCTCGGGCACATGGAACTACCCAGGAAGCAATGCCAACGACTTCTTCGTTCACAACTAGTGGTCCACCACTGTCTCCCTAAAAATTAAGGTAAATATTTTTAAAAATTGAAACTGTAACTCATTTCTTTCTTTAAATCTTTTTTATTTGAAAAATAATTATTTTCAGATTTTGGGAAATTTCTTACCGAACAAGCTCCACTTCCCTGCTGCTGCTTCGCACAAATTTGCTCCTGATGAAGTGAAAATGGAAAATGCTCATTACAAGAGGTGGAAGGACAGACCAAAGTTCTTAATTTTTGAAGTTCATTTGGAACTGTTTCAAAATTTGGAAAAATTAATCCCCATCCTGACGCAATTCCTTCGGATTCGGTTCTCAAATTTTTACTCGGAAGTTTAATTTTATTTTGAAAGGAATTAAAGGACATTGACTTTGTTAACTGTAAGAAAAAATTATTTTATTTAACTTGAACTGTTTTATTTAATTTAATTTAACTTGAATTTTTAATTTAATTTAATTTGAGTTTTATTGAATTTGACTTTTTAAATTTAATTTTATTGAAATTTAGTTTTTTAATTGAATTTAATTTGACTTTTCAAATTTAATTCAATTGAGGCCTTGGATCCAATAACTCGCCCGACGCTCGGAGACACGCGCTAATGCCAGTCGGGTAGCAGTGAGTGGCCCAGAGGCACTCACTGCTCACTGACTGGGAGTTGCGCGTTCCTCTGAGCGTCGGGCGAGTTATTGGATCCAAGGCCTCAATTGAAATTAAATTTCTTAACTGAGTTGAATTTGACTTTTTAAATTTAATTTAATTAAAATTTTATTCTTTAACTGAATTGAATTTGACTTTTTAAATTCAATTTAATTTGTCTTTTTAAATTGAATTTAATTGAAATTTAGTTTTTTAATTGAATTTAATTTAATTTGACTTTTTAAATTTAATTTTTTAACTGAATTGAATTTGACTTTTTAAATTCAATTTAATTTAAATTTAATTGTTTATTTTAACTTCCTTTTATTCTATTTTTAATTACTTACAGTAATGATGGCAATGTCATTGTGCCACGCAAATTCAGGTCCATCTTTGTATTCCGGATGAAGGGAAATTTTGCAGATTTTATGGAATTGTCCACCTTGAAATAATTCGTTTGTTCCACTGACAATTGACAGCAATTTAAGGGAATCTTCGTAATCTTGAAGGCAATGGGCAGCTGTTAAAATATGCGAATTACTAATTATCGAACCACCGCAAATATGTTTTCCATTCATTCGCAGTGACACTTGATATGGAAATTCACCAGGATTTGCAGGCCAACCACCAACTATTTTTTCTAAAGGTATTGCGGCGTTTTCTATAAAATATTTAAATTCATAAAATTCGATAATACGATTAAATTTTTTTTTGTCTTGAATTGACAAAAATCAAAATAATTTTTTTTTACCTTGAAAATTAATAGCGACAGCAAGAAATAGAATTAATATTCGATAAAACATTCTGAGAAAATTTTTTATTTTAAATATATAATATTATAAATTTTAAAATTCAAATTGAATAAAAATTCTAAATTTTAAATTAAATCTGAATTTGAAACTAAATCTAAATTTTAAATTCACGAATTTAAAAACTTGAATTATAGCAAAAAAATGAAAATTTACTGAAATAACGTTAAACAAACTTTTTATTGACTGTTTTCTTAATTAATTGTTTAAAAAGAATTAAAGTTTCGTTTATATATGAAAAAAATACGTGTCATTCAGATAATGATTCATTTTAAATCAGTTTTTAGAAATATACTTTTTATTTAAATTCGTTATTACCCAGAAAATACTATTAAGCAAAATGATTATTAAATAACTGGAAATTATTATTATCATTATTATCGTTACTATTACTAATAAAATTTCAAATCCTACTTCTGATTATTCTGAGAATTAATCATATTTCAGTCGAATATTTTTATAATTTATTATTAATAAATAATAACATTCTTTGAAAGAATTCAAATATTTTTCTAAAAAGCAGTAAATAGTAAAATTTTTTGCAAAAACTCAATTATTTTCCAAAATTTTAATAAATCTTTGGAAACAATTCAATTTTTTTTTAAATAGTAAAATCTTTGCAAAAATTTTATTATTTTAAAATTTAAACAAATTTTAAGGATAAAAATAAATTTTTTTCTTAATTCGTTATAAAAATTTTCAAAATAATTCAATTATTTTCTAAAATTTTAATAAATCTTTCCAAATAATTCAATTATTCTTATAAATGGTAAAATTTTTTGAAAAAATTAAATTATTTTCTAAAATTTTAATAAATTCTTCAAAACAATTCAATTATTTTTTTTATAAATGGTAAAATTTTTTGCAAAAATTCAATTATTTTCCAAAATTTTAATAAATCTTTAGAAATAATTCAATTATTTTTTTAAATAGTAAAATTCTTTGCAAAAATTCAATTATTTTTAATACAATTTTAATCAAAATTCATGATAGAACTTAATTTTTTTTTAAATTTTTAATAAAATTTTATCAAAAACATTCAATTATTTTTTATATTCTAATAAAATTTCTTGAACGAATTTATTATTTTACAAAAATTGTAATAGAATTCTGAGAAGAATTTAATTATTTTTAAAAATTTTAATAAATCCTTCGAAACAATTCAATTATTTTTATAAATATAGTAAATTTTTTTGCAAAAATTCAATTATTTTTTATAAATAGTAAATTTTCTTGCAAAAATTCAATTATTTTCTAAAATTTTAATAAATCTTTCAAAACAATTCAATTATTCTTATAAATGGTAAATTTTTTTGGAAAAATTCAATTATTTTCTAAAATTTTAATAAATACTTCAAAAAAATTCAATTATTTTTTTTATAATTAGTAAAATTTTTTGCAAAAATTCAATTATTTTAAATACAATTTTAATAAAATTTTATGGAAGACTTTAATTATTTAAAAAATTTTAATAATATTTTTCGACAAAATTCAATTATTTTTTATATTTTAATAAAATTCCTTGAACGAATTAAATTATTTTAGAAAATTGTAATAAAATTCTTTGAATTCAATAATTTTTAAAAAATTAATTTTAAAATATTTAAAATATTTAAATATTTAAATACTATTTAAAAACTAAAATTATTAAAAAAAAATTAGGAAACAAAAAAAAATCTACTTTTTTTTAAATTATTACAAATTCGTAAAATTATATTTTTAAGAAAATAATTTGAATAGAATTTATTTCTTGATGCTAAAAATATTATTCTTAAGAAAATAATTATTTTGCCTTATTATTTTCATATTTTACAATTTGAAAAAATTTGAAATTTGCGCCAAAAGCAAGCAAATTTTTTTGAAAAATATTTACCAATTGATGGTAAAACAGTGTATTAGGAACAAAAAATTATTGATTTAACGCATAACAAAATTGCTGTTTATAATTTTCAAAGAAATTAGAGTTTAGAAGAATGATTATTTTGTGAATTGTACAGAAACATAAATTTATTATTTCCATCTAAATATTCTATACAATTAAAAGTACACAATACATAATTTTCGCTTTGTCTTGTCACATATATATGTATATATATAGAAAAAGCAAAAATGGCGAACTTTAGAGTCGGTCGGCTCCTCATGTGTTAAAAATTCAACTTTTTTTTTTAAATACATTAATTAGTATATATCTTTCTATTTTAAAGAAATTTTGCAAATTTACTAATTTGTGTGTCTTGATCTTCTATCTAGTGGAATTGTGTTCATTATCGTTAAATAGTTATATTTCTATATATTATTAAAAACGCAAGAAGGATATTCACACTTTTCCTAACCTATAAATTCTGAGTTTGTTTGGGATTTGGCGAAACAATGGCAATGAGTGAAGACTTTAATTTCTCCGAGCTCTGTAGACTTTGTTCATTGAAAAGTAATCATCAATTGCAAATTTTCGATAAGGAAGGTGAACAGCGGCAATTGCTTTTTAAAATACGCTCTTGTATTCCCGCAGTGGTGAGTAATTTTTTTTTCGAGAAAAAGATTTACAAGAATCACAAGAATAAAGAATTCATTGTTTACAATTTTATATTTTATCTATTGGGATTTTAAATATGAAACACTTTTAATTAAATAAATCATTTTTCGTAGATTTGATACTATACTATATTTTGAAATTAATGTTTTTCGTTTTTTCTTAAACAGTATTTATTTATTTACAAATTTTGTTTGTATTTTAATATTTAATTACTTGACAAAAACAGGTTTATGCAAAATCGAAATATAGATTTATATTTAATTAATTTTTTATTTAATTTATTTCTATATTTAATACTTACTTCTTCCATTAAAAGTCGCGTGAATTTTTTCGTTTTTTACAAAATTTAGAAAAGAAAGAAAAGCAGCTAATAAGGGAGGAAATAATTTCACGATTGTTTTTCAGATAACAAAAGAGGATGCATTACCAAAAAATATTTGTCAAAGATGTGTCTATAAATTGGATATGTTTTATGAGTTTCGCGTGAGTTGCATGACAACGGAGACTGTTTTAAAAAGTTACGCCGACAGTATAAAGCATCTTGCTGCAGTTGTAAACAGTCAGGTGAGTAATTATTTTTAAATAGTTATTTTTGAAGCTAATCTTGAATAATTCTTTATTTCTTAGACGAATAGGCACAAAAATATTAAAATAATTCACTGGAAAAATAAAAAAAGTTCATATTTTCACTTAGAATGATAAAAGTGTTATAAAGTTGAAAAAAGGTTCGAATGATGTACAAGTTTACATGTTGTAAAGTTAAGATTATAGAAATTACACAAAAAGTATTAAAATTATAATAAAATAAATTTTTTTATTTTCTGAAATTATATATTCTTTTCTGTATAATATAATTATGGAAGAAATGAATAAGACAACTCTAATAAATATAAGGCTTAACCAATCTAGTATAAAGTTTAATTCAAAATTTATATTTATTAAAGAAATAATATTTCATTTAATAAAAAAAAAATTGATTTAAAAAAAATTAATGTTAGTCTAACGTTTTCAAATCTTCGTTCATTCCCATGAACGCAATGAGAGAAAACTTAGAGAGAAAATCCTAGCAATGAGAGAAAACTTAGGGAAAAACTCAAGTTTCATTTTGGTTCCACTTAGAGCATCAGTTCTGGCATACATGAAAATTTATGGTCATTTGAAAAGAAGGGAAATAAAATAATTTCAAGTAAAAGAAGAAATAATGACTCGACAATGTTCGGTCAACAATTTTCATCTCAGTTTAAAGTCTTCGGTACAAGGGCATCTCTGATCAATTCACAGAGACCTTGATTGCCTTTTTTTACCTTTAAAACTTTTTTTTCAACCTTCTCTTAATCTCACTACTTATTTCTTCTGGTTATTCTCAATTATTGCGAATTAAACTTTCAAATTTCGTTTCTATTTTCCGAAAAAGTAAATTCTTTTTTTTGAAGTAATATTAAAAAAAATTGATTATTCAATCAATTTTTTTGAATATTACTTCGAAAATAAAAAAATTTACTTTTTCGGAAAATAGGAACAAAATTTGAAAATTGATTAATCAATCAATTTTTTAAATATTACTTCGAAAATAAAAAAAATTACTTTTTCGGAAAATAGGAACAAAATTTGAAAGTTTAATTCGCAATAATTAAGAATTATAATTATAATATAAATAGAAATATGAATATAAATATAAATAGAAATATAAATAATATAAATTTAAATAAATAAAATAGAATTCTAGAAATTTAAAATTTATTTCAAAATTGTTATTTTATTTCTCGGGGATTAAAAATTGGAGACTTGAAAACTTCTAGAAAGCTCTAAAGAGAATTTTTCTCAAAATTGTTATTTTATTTCTCATAGAGTAAAAATTTGAGACTTGAAAACTTTTCTAGAAAGCTCTAAAGAGAATTTGTTTCAAAATTGTTATTTTATTTCTCGTCGATTAAAAATTGAAGACTTTTCTAGAAAGCTAAAAAGAATTTTTTTTTTCTGAAAAGAATTTGAGTAAAATACGTAAAAATTGTTTTTAATTGATAGAAGAAAAATTATTTTTTAAGCACAGTTATAATGAGAAAATTAAATTTCTTGGACAATGTTACAGGAGTTGGATTTTGCATTTTTTTTCTTTCGTCCATTGTCTGGACTTGGACAATCGTATGTATGGTGCATTCATTTATGAAAGAAAAGAGTGAAAGAAAAAAGAGAGAAAGAGAAAAAAAATTCGAGAATGGATTGAGAGAGAGAAGAACGAGTTATGAGAGCCGTCGCGACGCTATTGATCGACGCGACTCGACTCGACCCTGCGCGTCGCTTTTGCAACAGAAAGCGAAAGTCAATTCTCTTTTCTTTAGTGTCTAGTCTAGTCCTGTCTCTGTCTGTTAGCTCGAATTATTGCAGTTCACCTCTTTTCTCTCTTCTTTTTTTTTTATTTTGCATTGTCAGTCTTTGTCTTCTTCATATTCCTTGCATTTTCTCTTCCCCTCCTCCTAACTTGTTTCTTTTTTTTCCCTTTCTGCATTCGCTGTTCTTTGCCAATGCATGGGATCTTACTGGTTACAGGTGTATATCTGCTTCTTTCACATTGGCGAGTAGAAAAAAAAAATCCCAGCATCGTTGAAAACCTGTTTTGTTCCTACTGAAAATTGAAGGCGAATGAGCTAAGGAGGCAAAGAAGAAGAAGGGTTTACTTCTTGACATTACTCGATCATGCCGAGGGGGAAAACGAGATTTAAATCCTATTGAAAAACAGTTACTTGTTCCGCTTGTTCTGCTTTGGCTTTTGAAAAAGAAAAAAATTGCTTTTTGGAATTTTTCGAATTTTGTTTTTTTCCCATCGAGGGAAAATTGAAAAAATTCGTTTTCCAGAAGGGACTGGTTTGTCTGGTAGAGATAGGATTGGAGAATGGTGGAAGAAGGTGAAGGGCTTTTCTTTTCGCTCGTGTAAAAAGAGAGAATTTAGTTTTGGTTCGATATGCATTCTCGTTGCATTTATCAAGGTTGCTACAGGTCAGGAAAGTCGGAGAATTCAGGAAAAGTCAGGGAAAGTAGAATTGGTCAGGGAAATCAGGAAAAAGTCGGAGATTTCTTTTAAAAGTACTGGAAAAAATAAATCTTTAGAATTCATGAGAAAATTCTAAATTTTGGTGTCTTTTTTGTGTGCCTCCTTTTTTATTTTTTATAAATAATAAAATTCTTCTCAGGAATTTAATTATTGTTAAAAATTGTAATAAAATTCTTTGTAAGAATTCAATTTTAATAAAATTTGTCGAAAGAATTGAATTGTTTACAAAAAATTTAATACAATTCATCATAAGAATTCTATTAGTTAAAAATAATTGAATTTTGGAAGAATAATTGCAGTTGTAATTTTTAGAAATAATTAAATTTTTCAATTGGTTTTACATTGATTGAAATTATTAAAAATTTTAATTCCTGTAGAAAAATAAATAACATTAAATATTTAAATATTACAAATAATAAAGATTTTCTCCGAAATTCAATTATTTTCAAATTTTTTTTTATAAAATTCTTGGCAAAATATCAATTATTTTCCAAAAAAAATTATCCTCAATTCAATGATTTTTAATATCTAATATTTTAATAAAATTTTCCAAAAGAATTCAATTATTTAAAAGAAAAATGTTAATAAAATTTTGTGCAAATATTTCATTATTTTCATAAGTAGTAAAAATTTCACCAGAATTCAATTATTTACAAATCGTTTATATTTATTAAAGATTTTTGCAATAATTCAATTATTTTCATAAAAATAATTCAATTATTTTCATAAAAATAAGAAAATTATTTTTTGAAATTCAATTATTTTCGTAAATAATAAAATTCCTGTTAGGGATTCAATTATTTTTAATACAATTTTAATTGAATTCCACGAAAATTTCAATTATTCTTAAAAATTTTATTAAAATTCGTCAAAATATTTGAATTATTTAAAAATTTCTTTTGTAAAATTCCTTTTAGGAATTCAATTATTTTTAATACAATTTTAAGAGAATTCCACGAAAATTGTAATTATTCGTAAAAAGTTTATTAAAATTCGTCAAATGAATTCAATTATTTAAAAATTTGTTGATCAAATTATTTTTAAAAATTCAAATTTAAAAACACTCAATTATTCTTTAATTCAGTTTTAAAAAACATTCAATTTTTCAATAATTCATTTTTAAAAAACATTAAATTATTCAATAAATTATTTATTTTTGTATTTAAATAATTGAATTCTCGTGTAATTTTCTAATAAAAATTGATTTTAAAATTAATTTCAGTTAAAATTTTATATAATAATTGAATATTAATTAATAATTGAATTTTTATAGAAATATTTGAATTTTGAAAAGGTTTCAAATTAAAATCTTTGAAAATTTGAATTTTTCTTACTTTTAACTAACAAATTTTGTAGAAGTAATTTTTTTGAAAAAGTTTAATTGAATTTTTTTTTTTTTGAAATTATATGATGTTTTTACTTTCTGATATTTATTTAATTAAAGAATTTCCGAATAATCAAAATTTCCGTAAAATTGAATTGTTGACAAATGGATTTAAAAATTCTCAAATAAGAACTTTTTCAAATATTATTAAAAATATTTGATTTAGAGAAGAATTTTAGTTAAAAATTCTAGAAAATAATAATTGAATTGAAATGATGAAAATAATTTTGAAGAAGTTAGAGTAACAATATTCTTATAAAATAAAATATTGATTTTATCACTTGGTCAACTTTAATTATTAGAAAACATGAAGAAAACGATCACTTCGACTCTTCGAGTCGGAGTGATCGCTTTTTTCATGTTTTCTATTAAATATTTTTATAAGTTGTTCAATTTCAAGAAAGTTTGAATTTGAATGTTTCGAAGAATCTTAATTCCTGTGGAAAAATAATAATAATTGCATATTTATTTAAAAAAAGAAGTTATTGATGTTTATGAATAATTTTCCAATTACAGAAATTCGTTAATAAATGCAATAGATTTTTTTTCAGTTATCCAATAATTTTTAGAGTGAAGCAGAATATTTTTTAGGATCTGGGAAAAAAGTGAAAATTTTGTTCGAAAATCAGGGAAAAAGGAAAAATAAAATTTTTCTGTGGCAACCCTGATAATATATCCTTCTTTTGGATTTTTATTCTGCGCGTGCTCCCCGCGAGAGACTTCTCTCGAGGTTCTCAATGTCAGTGTCAAGGTCAGCGGGCCGACGCACTACAGTCGATTGTGGCGGCACCAGAATCAGCAACAACGTCAGGAGCAACGATCAGGGCGAGACACTTGAGCAGTTAGCGATTTGATACAGAATCTCTCGCACGTTGTGCCCCGAAAACACCAATTGGAATTCCGAAACTTCACTGATAAACTACTTTCCCTTTTTCTATCCCTCTCTGTACCTCGATTTTACTCTTTAATCAACGCTTTTCATTCTCAACATGCAAATTCACTTTTCTTGATGAGAATTTATTTCGCAAAAATTCAAATTCAAAATACAGAATTTTTCCTATTTTTTGAGAATTTTTTCAAAAGACAGCAGATAGTTTTCTGCTTATTTTTCTAGAGAGTCAGAATTTTAATTTTCGTATATTAATATTTTCTCTATTTTCTTTTTTGTTCTAAAAAAAATTATATTCGTAATATATCATCAGAACAAATAATTACAGAATACTTTCGTAATTTTTTTTTCCACACTAAAAATTCTTTTCTCATTTTTTTCGCAAATTTTATTTATAGGAAAAAAATACAGCTACCGAGTATATTCGTCTCTCTTATATTCTTTCTTCTAAATCTTTTCTTGAGGGTTTTTTTTCTCTGCTTTTTTTTTTTTAATCTTTGTCCTCGCCAGACTCCTCACATCCTTCTTAAAATTCCCCTCTCGCCAATATAGTGGTGTTTGTATGTGTTGAGTTGACCGCACGTCATTCTCTCTTTTCGTCGTTTTCCCTCGCGATCTTGGCAACGGATAAAATCACTGAAGAAAAGTACCGGGTGAAAACGAGAGTGAAATTTATTGTGTGCGCGCGAGAGTCGCGTGAAAATTAAAAAAAAAAAAGAAAGCAGTGAATCGTGTGACTTTTTGTGATTGATTCTCAGTGAATGGAATTTTAAAGGAGAAAATGTTGATGAACTAACAGAGAAAGAGAAATATTATTTTTTCAAGTTACAAGAAACATCAATCAATAATAGTGCGAAAGAGAAAATGGAATTTTTCGAAACAGTATTTATATTTTTCCTCTTTTTTTACCATACTTAGAATATTCTGATAGTAATTATTTTTTCTTTCGTTTATCCGAAAGTTTTGAAGAAAATTAATTGACTTAAAAAATCTGACTTCAAAAATGAAGAATAATTTAATTGTTAATTTTCTAGATATAAATTTTGATTATACTTTTACTGGTACATAATTTTTTGAAAAAGAAAAAAATTTAGTTTATTATTTTGTTTTGAGTTTTTTTTTTGTTTATTTTTTTCGAAAGGAAAAACTCGAAAGGAAACTTTTGAAATTAACTAAGGGAAAATTATTCGAAAACAATAATTGACTAGATTAAATTACAAATCGCCGAAGATATTTATTTCTCATACACGGTGAACTTGTATTTCAGTTAGAGTATTGATCGTTATAGTCGGAGCAGTAAATTTCGCGTTTCAAAGAAAAAAGATTAAATAAAGAAAGGAAGCCGTAGGTCATTGTACGACATAAACTGCGTTGGCGGTTTAATGCATTATTTACACTTTTACGACTTCTTCAAAATTAATTTTACTCGGACAAGAAGTTCTTTTGTCGTTTCGTAAATTTCTTCCTTCACTCCACTCTAATCGAGCAGGAATAATTTCAAGCCTAATATTAATTTTTTTCATTTAAATTCTAAATTCATATCGATATTTATCAAAATTCATCCAATTACTTCTTAAACGTATACTTTTATTTGTATATGAAAATTTAAAAATTTAAGATTCAAACTTCAAAAGATTCAATTATTAACTAATTTGCGAATTAATTACTCTTGTTAGGCAATTTCAAAAATTTTGATAAAATTATTCGAAAGAATTCAATTATTTTCTAAAATTTTAATAAATCTTTCGTAACAAATTCAATTACTTTTTTAAATAGTAAAATCTTTGCAAAATTCTAAAATTCAATTATTTTCAAAAAAATTTCACGAAAAAATTCAATTTTTTTCTTAATTTTTAATAAAATTTTTCGAAAAAATTCAATTATTTTCTAAAATTGTAATAAATTCTTCTTAACAATTGAATTTTATTTATAAACAGTAAAATTTTTTGCGAAAATTCAATTATTTTTAATACAATTTTAATAAACTTTCATGAAAGAATTAATTTTTAAAAAATTTTTGACAATATTTTTCGAAAAATCCAATTATTTTCTAAAATTTTAATAAATCCTTCGAAACAATACAATTATTTTGTTTTGAATTAAATTATTTTTATTTCAAAACAATTCAATTATATTTATCAATATAGTAAAATTCTTGGCAAAAATTCAATTATAATTATTCAAAACAATATCACGAAAAAATTCAATTTCTTTCTTAATTTTTAATAAATATTTTTCGAAAAAATTCAATTATTTACTAAAATTTTAATAAATCCTTTGAAACAATTCAATTATTTTTTTCAATAGTAAAATCTTTGCAAAAATTCAATTATTTTCTAAAATTTTTATAAATCCTTCGAAACAATTCAATTATTTTTTAAATAGTAAAATCTTTGCAGAAAATTCAATTATTTTCACAAATAATAAAATTATTCACAGAAATTCAATTATTTTTACTACAATTTTAAATAAATTCCTCGAAAAATGGAATTATTCTTAAAAATTTTATTAAAATTACTTTAATAATTCAAAATTTTTAAAGGATTTCAATTATTTTTGAAAATATGTGAATTTCTGTCGCGAATTTTATAATTTACGAAAATAATTTAATTCTTACGAGGAATTTTATTAACATTCATGAAAACAATTGAATTCTTTTGGCAAATTTCATTTTATAAAAATTAAATTAAAAAAAAATAATCAATAATTCAATTAATTATTTATTTTTGTATTTAAATAATGAAATTCAAAGAAGGAATTCTATTATCAAATTTTTTGATAAAATTTTTTACAACAATTCGATGATTATTTTTTTGCTATTATTTTGTTTAATTATTTTTATACAATTGTAATTATTTGTATAATTTTTACACATTTATATTGTATTTTTATTTATTTATATTGTGTTATATAATTTATGAAAATTCAAAAAAGGCTGAAATCGTATTTAGATAATTTATATTTTATGAACATTGAAAAAAGATCGAAATTTTATTGGATAAATTATATATTATAAAAATTAAAAGAAGAATGATCGAAATTGTATTAGATAATTCACATTTTTTGAAAATTGAAAATAGATTGAAATTGTATTACATAATTTACATTTTACAAAAATTGAAAAAGGATTGAAATTGTATTAACTAGATAATTTAAATATTTTACGAAAATTGAAAAAGTATTGAAAATTGTATAAAGTAGATAATTTCTATTTTACGAAAATTGAAAAAGGATTGAAAATTGTATTAAGTGGATAATTTAATATATTTTTGATGAAAATTGAAAAAAGATTGAAATGAAATTTTCCTCATTTGTTTTTTATAGATTGGAGAGAATAAGGATAATAAAATGTCGAACGGTACTCAGCAGCAGCAGCAACAACAGAGAACAGCGTATGTTGAGGCTCATGCCGTGGCTCATGCGGCAGTGCAACAACACATGGCGCAACAAGCAGCTCAGGCAAGGTTAGCAGGACCAGGACCCGCTGCAACACCACAGCCACCTAATCCGACCTTCACTTTACCTGATGATGGTCTCGGATATGATGATGGAGTTCGTGTCCTTCGCTCCATTGGAACCTGGTACATACAATACTCATTAAAAATTTCCCCTTAATCTATCCATACAAATTTCCATCTCATTTCAAATCGAACTCTTCAATTCAATCGAAATAAATTTCATTTCCATTTCTCATTATTTTTCTCTTCAACATTTTTTTCTTTTTTAAATTTTAATTCTTTTTACTATTTTTTCTTATTTGTTCTTATTTTTTTTTATTTTAATTCTTCTTGTTATTATTTCTTCTTATTTTTGTTTTGAATTTTAATTCTTCTTGTTATTATTTTTTCTTATTTGTTCTTATTTTGTTTCATTTTAATTCATCTTGTTATTTCTTCTTATTAGTTCTTATTTTCTTCTAATTTGTAATATATAAATACTATAAGCATAAATTTATTTATTTTTAATGTACAATGGGTACCAAGAAATTATTTTTTAAAATTAAACTTTGAGATTAACGATCACTTATTAATTAGAACATTAATAATTAATTATTAATTATTAGTTATAACAATTCTCTTATTAATTATCAACGATCGTTAATCTTAAAGTTTTATTTATAACTAAGACTACCGAGTGATAAAGTCAAAAAATTACATTAATTAATTTATTTTTTACGAAATTAATTAGTATTTTTTTATTTATATTTAAATTAGCAAAAGTACACGGGCAATTTTGAAGCTCATTGTTAGTTACAAAAACTCTTTTTGAAATTAGATGAGAATTTTTTTTTTCAATTTAAATACAATTTTTCAAAATGTACTTAATTCTTCAAAAAATACGATTTTCTATTTCAAAAATAATTTTTAAAAGTTATAAATTATATTCTTTTAAATATAAAATTTATTTCGATGAAATTTAGACAAAACTTTAAGATTTCTTCATTTTTTAAAATTATTTTTTGGGAATTCAATTATCTTCAAATAAAGCATTTTAATTATTTTTATAAATTTTTATTAAAACGCTTCTAATATTCAATTTATTTTCAAAATTTTAACTGAAATTCTTTTTTAAACCAACTTTTATTAGAAAATTCTACGAATATTCCATTATTTAAATACAAAAACAAATAATTGAATAAATGATTATTTTTTAAATTGAATTTTTATAAAGTATTTTTTATCAAAATTTTAAAAAATAATTGAATTCATTCATAGAATTTTAATTAAATTTTTAAGAATAATTTCATTTTAAATGAGAATAAAATTCTCAGGAGAAATTCAAATTTTTTTAATACAATTTTAATAACATTTTTCGACAGGATTCAATTATTTTTTTAAATTTAAATAAAATTCTTTGAACGAATTCAATTATTTTTAGAAATTTTAATAAAATTCTTGAAAACCATTCAATTATATTAAAAAATTTTGATGAAATTTCTCCAAAAAGTTGAAGTATTTTTAAAAATTTTATTAATATTCTTCGTGAGAATTCAAGTTTAAGAAAATTTTTTGCAGCAATTCAATTATTTTCGTAAATAATGAAATTCTCGGCAGGAATTCAATTATTTATAAAAATAATTGAAATCCTTTGAAAAATTTGAATTTTAAAAATAATTGAATTGTTACAAAAAATTTTAATAAAATTTTTGACAAAAAATTAAATTCATTCAAGAAATTTAATTAAAAATGTATTGAAAATAATTATTAAATTCTAATATATAAAGTATATCAAAATTATTTTAAATATAATTGAATTCTTTCGAAGAATTTTAGTAAAATTTTTAAGAATAATTCCATTTTTCGAGGAATTTATTTAAAATTATAAATAATAAGAATTTTATTATTTGTGATAATAATTGAATTACTGGAAAGAATTTAAATTATTTATGAAAATAATGGAATTATTGCGAAGAAATTTATAAAAGATTTATAAATGATTGAAATTTAGCGAAGAATTTTATTACTTTCGAAAATAATTGAATTTCTTCGTACAATTTTATTATTTGTGAAAATAATTGAATTTCTGGGAAGAATTTCGATTATTTATAAAAATAATGGAGTTATGGCGAAGAAATTTATAAAAAATTAATAAATAATTGAATTTCTGCAAAGAAAATTCATTACTTTTGAAAATATTCGTATTTCTTTGAAGAATTTCGATATTTATGAAGATAATTGAATTCTTGCAACGAATTTTATTAAAAATTTTTTAAAATAATTGAATTCTTGAGAATAATTTTATTATTTTAAAAAATAATTGAATTCCTGCGAATTATGATTTTTTATAAACATTATTTTTTCAGAATTTCTAAATAAAATTTGCAAATTTAATTCATTTTTTGTTTTTAGTAAATATTTGAATATTTATTTTTATTTAATGTTAGAATTTTTCGCTGATTAAGAATTATAATTATGAAAGAAGATTTCGACTTTAATCTTCTTTCATAATTACAATTTATTTTTGTTTATTTGTCCTAGGAATTAAAATTTTAATCTAATTTCAATGTATGTAAAACCTTTTGAAATTAAATTAAAATTAGAAGTACATACAATTCTTTCAGTTCTTGAAATATTTTCTGAAATATTAACTGAAATTCTTTTTCAAGTCAATTTTTAATAAAAATTTATAGGAGAATTCAAGTATTTAAGTACAAAAATAAATAATTGATTTTTAAAAATTGCAACATTTTTTTTTTACTTTGAGAAAGAAAATTCGTAGACTATTTAAGATTTTGAATAATATTTGATATTTTTCTTTTTTTGAGAAAATTTCCTTACTTTAATAAGTTTTTGGAATTTACAGAAGGTTAATTTGTCAATTAAAATGTATCATTAGGTCCCCTGAGTATTCGGCAGCGATGCGACCAGCAGGAACAATGCCTGCTTTTCCAGGATCAACGGAACAACAATTTGGAAATGGCCGAGCGCCGACAATAAATCAACCACTACGAAATGCGAACACTATTGGAATTCGACCAGGATCCGTTTCAAAGGCAACGAATACTGGTGAACCGACGACGAAAGCATTTGCCTGCACAGTTTGCGGAAAAGGACTCGCTCGTAAAGATAAACTTGTTATACATATGCGAATTCACACCGGCGAAAAGCCATATTCGTGCGAAGTTTGCGGTAAGAATGAAAATTTATAACCAACCAAAAGTCAATTCAAGTAGATTTCAAATATTTACTGATATCATATGTATGACTTTTTAGCATTTTACATTTTCCATAAATAAATTAACATAATTTGTCAAATTAAAGTATTTTTTGATTTTATTTTTAAATTTCGTCTGTTAAGTAATTAATTATAAAATAAGGAAAAGGGAAAACATTCGGACAATGAATAAAAATATTTATTTACTCCAACGTTTCGAAACGTTGGAGTAAATAAATATTTTTATTCATTGTCCGAAATGTTTTCCTTTTATTTTCGTTATTTTATAAAAGATCTCGGACGTTAAAGATTATTTAACTAATTAATTATAATGTATTTATATTATAAATTATAAATTATTTATATAATTTATTTATATAATTTATTTATTTAATTTAAACTTAAAATTAATTTCTCATTTTTCTTTTCAGGAAAAGCATTCGCTAGAAGAGATAAACTTGTAATTCATATGAATAAATTGAGGCATAGACCGGGAGTAACGCCACTTTCAACTCCCGCTCCTCCGAATGTTGAACAACAACAACAGCAGCAACAACAACAGCAACAACAACAGCAGCAACAACAACAACAGCAACAGCAGCAACAACAACAACAGCAGCAACAACAATCTCGACAGGATCCAATTCATAAATTAAAAGAAGAACCTATGAGTTGGTCCTGTGAATTGTGCGGTCGAGCACTTGCTACCAGAGAAGAGTGGACGCAACATGCACGGTAATTAAATCAGAATATTTTTGTATTTAAATAATTTAATTCTTGTGAAACTTTCTGAAAGGAATTGATTTAGATAAGAATTTCAGTTGAAATTTTTATAAATTAACTAGTAAAATGTTACGATCGAAACACGGAATTCAATTTATTTCTATTATGCAAATTAAAATTGTTTTTATTTATAAATATTAACTTTAATCTTTTTTATAAATGTAGATTAAAAATTTTTAAAATTCACTTATAAAAAATATATTATTTTAATTTTAATTCAATTATTCAATTAGGTATTATTTTTTGTAAAAAATTTTGATAAAATTCCACGAAAGAATTGAATTATTTTTAACAATTTTTAATAAAATACTTTGGATAATAATAATACTTTTTATCGAAAGAATTCAATTATTTTTTTAAATTTCTAATAAAATTCTTTAAAATTCAATTATTTTCGATTCAATTTTAATAACATTTTTCAAAAGCATTCAATTAATTTCAAAAATTTTAATAACATTTTTCGCAGAAATTCAATTATTTTTAATACAATTTCAGTAAAATTTTTCCAAAGGATTCAATTACTGTTTTAAATTTGTAATAAAATTCTTTGAATGAATACAGTTATTTGTCAAAATTTTGATAAAATTCTTCAAATTAATTTCATTATTTTCAATAATTTAAATAAAATTCTTCAGAAAAATTCAATCATTTTTACAAATAATAAAATTATTTGCAAAAATTCAATTAATTTCAGAAATATAAATAAATTATTTTAAAAAAATTTTAATATAATTCTTCGTAAAAAATTATTTTTCTAAATAATAAAATTCTCGGCGGGAATTCAATTATTTTAACTTTGAATAATTTTACTTAAAAATTCTAAAAATTACTGAATTTTGGAAAAATTGCAGTCGTAATTTTTAGAATTTATTTATTTTTGAAATTCTGAAGAAATGAGTTGTCTGAAAAATTATAATAAAAATTCTCTTAACAATTTCATTTTTCATAAAAAAAAATAAGAATTTTCTCTGAAATTCAATTATTTCCAAAAATTTTAATAAAATTCTTAGCAAAATTATGATCATTTAATTTTCATTTTCAATTATGAAAATCATTGAATAAAATTCAATGATTTTCAATATCTATCCAATATTTTAATAAATTTTTCCGAAAGAATTCAATTATTTAAAAAAAATTTTAATAAAATTCTTTGCAAAAACTCAAATTATTTTCATAAATAGTGAAAATTTCACTGGAATTTAATTATTTACAAATTTTTTATATTTATAAAAGATTTTCGCAATAATTCCCTTATCATCATAAAAAAAAACATTTTTTTACAGAGATTAAATTAGTTTCCTTAATAATAAAACTCATTTCAGAATTTCAATTATTTTTTATACAATTTTAATTGAATTCCTCAAAGAATGTAATTATTCTAAAAAATGTTATTAAAATTCTTTTAAAAAATTCAATTATTTAAAAATTTCTTATAAAAGTCTTCGCAATAATTAAATTATTTTCATAAATAATAAAATTCCTCTTAGGAATTAAATTATTTTTATTATAATTTTAATTAAATCCCACGAAAATTGCAATTATTTCTGAAAATTTTATTAAAATTCGTCGAATGAATTCAATTATTTAAACATTTGTTGATAATATTCTTTTTAAAAATTTAATTTTAAAAAACATTCAATATTCAATAAATTTTTAATTTTTTCTAATAAAAATTGATTTAAACATGAATTTCAGTTTAAATTTTAGATAATAATCGAATATTAAAAGCATTACAGCATGAATTTTGAGAAATAATTGAATTTTTAAAAGGTTTCAAATTAAAATCTTTGAAAATTTGAAGTTTTCATACTTTTAACTAATAATTCTGTAGCATTTTTTTTTTGAAAAAGTTTAATTGAATTTTTAAAAAAAAATTTTTGATGTTTTTCTTTTCTAATATTTATTTAGTTGAAGAATTTGCGAATAATCAAAATTTCCGTAAAATTGAATTGTTGACAAATGGATTTAAAAATTCTCAAATAAGAACTTTTTCAAATTTATTCGATTGTTTTAAAGAAGAATTTTAGTTAAAAATTTAGAATTGAAGTTTTAAATAAGAAAAGAAGTTAATGTTTTTTTTGGAACTAAGGGAAATAAAAATTTAAAGTTTTTTGTTAATTCTGAATAAAATAAGTTTCTTTTTTTCTATTAATGTACAAAAATGAATAGGTTATTTTATTTTTAATCGATTCAATTATCGGCTAAAATTTTTAGTCAATCGATAGAAATAATTTGTTTAGATTTAAAGATTATATTTCTTAATTTTTTTATGTACCGAGTTTTCAAGGTTTTGCAACCTTGAAAATTAAATACTAAATTAGTTTTTAAATTAAAATTATTAATGAACAATTTATTATTTGCAGGTCACATTTAGAAGCGTCGGTGCCTCCGCAACACGCGGCACCATATTTTGCGGCCTCAGCGGCTCCATCGCAGCCATACACGCCAGATAGAAATTTTTGTCCAATGTGTCGCATTGACTTCAATGATAAGGCTGAATTCATGTTCCATGTACGCTCGCATTTTGAACCACACGCACAACAAACGGGAACGCAACGCTCGACATTGAAACAAGGTAATGATCCTGCAACTGCGGAATTAATCGCCCGAGGACTCGTCGATCCTTCTGGGCTTTGCAGCTAGAATTTTCCTCATTCTCACTCAACGATGTCGATCCGTGTCTTACCATAGTACAACTTTTATGACACTGTCTTCACATTCTTGACCATTTTTTTTTTTTTTTTTTTTTTTTTTTTTTTTTTTTTTCCTCTTATGCGTAGCTTGGTATGAAAATTGTGATCATAATTTTAATAGTTTTATTTTGATTCTAAAGGATACGCCAATTAACGAAGAAAATTGCAATTTGTTTTTGAAATTGAATAGAAAATTGATTCAATTTTCTTTTTTAAGAAATAATTTTTAGGAAGAATCTAAAAATCAAGTTAAAATAGAAAATGTTTGAAAAAAATTCGGTAACATCGTAAGTAGTTTCTTGGGTATCCTTTATTATTAATTTCTTTTTTTATTTGCAATTTTATCTACATGAAGAAAAAATTAGATTAACGCTAAATTTTATCATTTTTGATTTTCATCTTTTTTCCACTATTTACTTTTTCGAATATTTAAAGACAATTATATATAAAATTTCTCTCGTGAATTGAAAATTGAAAATTAATAAATAGATTTTATCGAAAAATCGTCCAAGGTTAATAGTGGAAAATTGCTGAAATTATAGTATTAAAAAAAATGAAAAGAAAAGCTGAACAAATATTGACAAGTTGTCCGGAGCAAAATCAAGAGGAAGATTGGTGTCTAAAATTCAGTTGTCCGAGTAGAAAATTAAATTTGCATTTTTTTTCGTCAAATTTTGGAAAAATATTCGATTTTTTGCATCTCACAAAATTTAATATTCACTTGAGTAAAATATTTATTTAAAGACGTATTTTTAGTTTAAAGTGAACTTTAGGTAAACTTTAAGTAAACTTTAAGTTAACTTTAAATTCTTAAAAGTTAATTTTAAACCAAATTTTCAAATGTAACTAAAAGAATATTTTTGACTGAAACAAATTTCTCTTTTGTGAGGCTAAACTTTTTTTCGAACCACTTCCTCTTGTTGCTGTAGAATAGAAAAAAAAGTAGACTTGATTAAGAATTTGATGTGCCTCCTATTCTTGAATTTACAATAATGTAGAAATTTCAAATTTTGGTGCAGATTTTTTTATACAAACATGACCAAGAGTCCGACTGATATATTTAGAAATAATTCTTTTAGTCGAATTTCTCAAGAACAAAGGAAAAGAAGACTTAACTTTTTTAAAAATAGTTTTATCATTAAGGAATTATTTCCTTTTTTTTTCTTTTTACTGAAACTAGTAATACGTGTACTTCCTCTGTGAGGAAGCAATGAGAAAGCAAAAATCATATTAAACAATAAGTTTTTGATTTTCTACTAGTTTCAGAAATATTTTTTAATCAACTGAAACAATTTGGGGCATAATAAACAATTTCAGGGTGGCCACATGTCAAAACAAAATTTTTAACAGTAAAGTCAGGGAAATGACAGGAAAAAAAATTTTTTGTTAGTAAAATTTAGAAAATTGAGATTTTTTCGAATTGTTTTCAAAAATTTCAACTTTTTCCACTTTTCTTACAAATATTGCAGCTAAATATCATATTTTTTTTAGTATTTAATTAAATGTAACTCATTTCGATTTTTATTGTGCAAAAAATGATAAACAAATCTTTCGAAAATTATTTTTTGAATCATTTTTCTATTTAAATTTTCGAAATATACAATTAAAAGGATTTTGAATAATTGAAATTTTGTAAAATTTTATGGCAAATAATAATTTTTTTTCAACTATTTTGTTAGAATTTTTAAAAATCAACTTTTGAAAAATTTTAATTGTAAATTTTCAAAAAATAATTGAATTATCAAAAATTTTAATGAAAAATCTTGAAACGTAAATTTAAAAATGAAAAGTAAAGAAAATTAGCTTTTAATTTTTCAAAATTCACTATTTTCAGAACTTTTTATTACGTATTTTTGAAAATTCAAATACATACAAAAGATAATAATATCTTAGAATTATTTTTAATATTTTGGAGAAAAAAATCATTGTTCAAAATATTTTATTAAAATTCATCAAGAAATTAATTAGTTTTTTTTTAAATATTACAAAAACTCTTTGAAGAAATTCAATTGTTTTCGAAAAATTAGATTAAAATATTTTTTAAAACTACTTAATTATTAGAATTTTTTTGTCAGAATTTTTGTAAAATTTAATTACCTTCGAATAAAGGAAATAAAAATTTACTTTTTTGGATTTATTAAAATTTCGGAGAAATCATGGTCATTAAAATTCTTTAAAAATTTGATTATTTTTTGAAAATAATATACCTTCATAAACTGAAGAAAAAAACATGGACAAAAAAATTGGATTTTCGTAATTAAATTATTTAATTCTCGAACTCGTTCTCGAAGAATTTTCAGAAAATTATTGAAAATAATTGATTTATAGATGAAGTTTAATTGAAAATTATAGAAAATAATTGAATTCAAGAAAGGTTATTGTTGTAATTTTTAGAAATTATTAAATTTCATAAATTTTACTCATTTTCCGAAAAACTTTTATATTTTCAAAATTTTGTCAGGGAAAATAATTTTAAAGTTAGTAAATTATCAGGCAAATATCAAGGAAATTGATAAACTGAAACTTGTGACCACCCTGAATTTCTAAAACTGAAACAATTTTGTGACATAATAAACCATTTTTTTAAAACTGAAAAAATGTGGCATAATAAAACCTTCGAAATTTCGAATAATAATGGAAAATAATAACACAAAATATTGTTAATTAGAAAAGAATTTCGAATTACATTGTGATAAGAATATTCCAATAACGAAAGGAAACGTATATTGTTTTGTAAAAAGTTTATTGTCAGTATTTACCTATTTTGTAGGAAATTTTAATTGAGTGCTTCCAGTAAAAGAAAATGTCGAAATATCTTTTTAATCTTTAATTTAGTTTTATGGAATTTTAATATTAACGAATAAAATTTTTAATTCTTCTTTTTTTTAAGCACAAACAGTGTATAACAATTTGTTTATTTTAATATTTACTTTTCTAGTGTCTAATGTGAAGTTTAATTAATATAAATTAATTTTTTACTTTTTCACTTGTCGAATAAGGAAAACTTTATCGTAAAGATTAGACAGAAACGAAATTAAATTGGAATTTAATTTTGACTTTCAATTCTTGGAGTAATTTGTTTTTTTATAACTATTGTTTATTAGTTAAGAAAGTTTTTGAACGTTTATTTTTATTTTTATGTATTTTGGTATTTATTTCGAAAACGAAATAAATACAAAGATACAGAAATAAAAATAAAAATTTTTAATTCAATTTTAACATTTTTATATTATTTTCATAGTGACGCAAAATTTAAATAAAATTCGTTCATTCGAATGTTTTGGAGTATGGAAATTAGTGAAGAAATGTAAATTTTAAGTAGTTTAAAAATTAGTAAATTTGTTGAATTAATGTGATTAATCTTTTTTTTTAATATTTCGAAAATCGATGCAATTTTTTTATTAGTTCTTTAAAAAATCAAAACTATTAAATTTGAGGATGCAATCGCATTATTTTTATGCCCGTTTATACATTTAAATAAATAAATATTTAGAAGAGAAAATAATTGACGAAAAAAAAATAAGTACGTGAAAAAAAAATGATTAAAGGAAGGGAAAGAAATTTTCGTCTTAATGCTGACAATGAACTTTTATAGTGGAAACTATTTTTATAGTAGAACTATTTTTTTTCTAATATCTAAAAACTTTGACTGCATTTTTGATACTTTAGAGAATTGTGAGAATTATTTAGTTGAGATTAAATACACGGATTGGCAGGCACATCGACATATACATATTATACATTATCGTAAGAGCTAGAATTAGAATTAATGTTTCTTTACTTTTATTCTTGTCACGAGGAGTGAACGTTCCATTGCCTCTAATAGCTGTTTTAGACTACTTTTTATACCGTTGATGTCACGCGCAGCTAATCAGAGCCAGTATAAAATACTACCGTAATTATATTACACACGATGTATACTCAACTTTATAAATAAAAATTATTATCGAACAATAACAATTGATTGATAAAATAATTTTAATCTTTCGATATTTTTCCGTAAAATGTGAATTCAATTCGCCTGTTAATTATTTTGTTAATCGAGTTTTTGTAGAGAAAATAGGGAAGAATTTTTTTTTTTCTATTTTCTCTACAAAAAATTCAATTAAGAAATAATTTACAAAAAAAAAATATAGGAAAGAAAATCTTTCTTTCCTATTTTCTCTACAAAAACTCGATTAAGAAATAATTTACAGAAAAAATAAAGTAAGAAATAAAAAAGAAAAGAAAGAAAATTAGAAAGAAAAAATAAAGAAAAAAAATACGAAATAAAAGAAAGGAAAGAAAGAAAATAGGAAAGAAAAAAGAAAAGAAAGAAAATAGAAGAAAAGAAAGGAAAGAAAAAAGAAAATGATTAAAGGAAAGGAAACAAGTTTGACTTAAATATACTTCAATAATAAATTTATATTCAAAACGCACATGCGAAAGAGAAAATAATTAAAATATTTCGAGTGTAATTGCAGGAAGATTCTTTTCTTTTTTTTAAAGTGGATCTGGACTGAAATGTAAATTACGGATTTTTAATGAGATGAATTTTTCTTTTTCATGTCTTCTTCATCGATGATTATCATGATGATAATAATTGGCTATATTTTGATGAATTTTCCATAATTCTTTTTCTCTTTTCAAAAGATTGATAAAGAAGTCGTCGAGGAATTTACATATAACGAGGTGTCGTTGGATTCTGCAATGAATAATGCAGCAGAGAATGTTTATGAGGTATATATAGAAAATAAAATAAAGAAAAAAGAAAAAAGAGTTTTTAAGAAGTAATTTCTCCTCATGTAAGGTTACAGAGAGTTCCTGATCCACAAAGGTAGTTTACCTTGCAAGAATCAAGAGGCACGCCTTATTCACAAAAGTGGTCATGGGCGGTTCTCTGATCTTTTATCTTTGTTTATTGTTTTTATTTTTTTTTTTGGTTTTTTTTTCATGTAATTATTTTTCAGGCTTCGCGCTCATCTACTAAAATCTACTGTTTAGTACTTTTTTTAAATTTCTGGCACTAAAAGCTGATTTTTTCTTTTTTTTTTACAGAATTTATACTAGTTTAAGTAAATACGATAGTAATTGAAATTAAGAAATTATTCTCAAAAATTTTGATAAAATTCTTAGACACACTTGGAAAAATTTTAATAAAATTCTTTGAAACGATTCAATTATTTTCTTATTTTCAAAAATTTTGATAAAATTCTTCGAAACAAAATAATTATTTTTAAAAATTTTAATAAAATATTTGTGAAAAATTCAATTATTTGAACAAATAATAAAATTATTCGCAGGAATTTAATTATTTTCAAAATAATTATTTAAAAATAAATTCTTGGTAAAAATTCAATTTTTATAAAATTTTTCGCTGGAATTTATTTATTTATTTACAAAATTCAATTATTCAATTATTTTTAGTACAATTTTAATAAAATTTTTCGAAAGAATTAAATTATTTTCAAAAAATTTAATCAAAATCATTAATTTGGTAAATAATAAAATTTATTCACAATTTTAATATATTTATAAAATTGTTTTATGATTTTTTAATTTTTTTTTTAGTTTGATTTTTTGTTTAATTTTGCATCATTTTTTTTTTTTCTAATTTCAAAAAAAATGTATTTTTTTGTCTATAATTATTAATTTTCTATCGTAATATAATTATCGTATCGCAATTAAAATATTTCTATTTTCGTATGGAAACTTTTAGAATTTATCATTTCTTTTACGAAAAAACGGAAAACAATATTTCTTTTTTTGTATAATAATAAAATAATTTTGCTTCCAGCGACTTTTGCTCTCACCTTTGTAAGCCTGGAGTCGTGCCATAATTTCAGAAAAATTGCAGAGTTCATTGCGCCATTAAAGGATTCCAAAGGTTACCAGATGAAAGTAAATCGATTCAAAGTACCTAAACAGAAATCACATTCTACGACAAAACCAAACTTGGAACCACACACAAACATAGAGACAACAATGGGAAGACTATCGTAAATACAAAATTTATTCCTTTTTCATTTATTTGTTTTTCTCTTATTTGTTTTGTTTTTATGCATTTTTTTCTCTTATTCGTTTTGTTTTTATTCATTTTTTTCTCTTATTCGGTTTCGTCTTTATTCATTTTTTTTTATTCGTTTTGTTTTTATTAATTTTTTTCTCTTGTATTCGATTTTTTTTTCTTTTGAGAAAGAGAGACAAATTTATTGAAAGAAAAATCTGAAAATTAGACACATCGAAGAATCGTAAGCATTACTCATGCGTTATTGCATTCATTATTTTAATTTCAACATCGACTCATTCAAGAATGTACTGAGATATGTAAATTAATGTGGTAATCAGTGTGTGTTCGATTGTAGAGAGAAAAAAATGATTTCAAAATGCCATGAGAAATTCGCCTATCAAACGAGAAGAGAAATAAATTTTATTCTTAACGCCCTTGCACGGCTTTATATTTTACCAATGCAGAGGGAAAATATTAGAAATCAAATTTCATGGCTAATGTAAAAATTTTGTTCAATAAGGCAGAGCACAAAGAAAGGCAGATTCTTCTTTTTAAATCGTTTATTGTTCTAAAGTGAAAAAAAATCGGACAAGTGCAAATTTAATTCGCACTTGTCCGATTTTTTCTATTAAACATTTCTTAAAATAAGAGACTTATAATAAAATGAGTTTATTGACAGATCGCAGAAAAGTACAAAATGAAATTTTTATGGTAACTCTGAATGAAATAAGCGACGTTTTCGACTCTTTTTTAAAATCTTTTATTGGCTAAATTATTTTTTTTGTGTCTTAACGAATTTAAGATGCGAAAAAAATACGAGGCCTTAAAATGTAATTTTGCCACTAAAAGCGAGACTCAGAGCCAAATAGACTTTTTGTTTGTTTCGAATAAATTTTATTTTGTTCGAATAAAATTTTATTTGGTTCGAATAAATTTTATTTGGTTTAAATAAAATTTTTGTTTGGTTAAAATAAAAGTTTTATTTATGTTGAATAAAATTTTTATTTAAAACAAATAAATAAGGCTCTGAGATAAATACACTTTCATTTAAATCAAGTGAATTATATTCGGTTCGAATAAAATTTTTCTCTAGGATTCTTTATTTATACGTTACCCTAAAAATCTGATAAGTACAGGCTTCGCACTCAATAATTAATTTTTAAAAAAATGACAAATAGTAGCTTTAAGAGTGAAAAAGGAAGTAAAAAAGTAGCTATCAAAAAATTTTAATTTGACGACTAAAAAGCACGTTTTAATCAATTCAGGTACAAAAATCACAAAACAAATTTTTGATTCTGTATTTCCCTGATTTTTATAAAAATATTCCCTTTTTTCTTAAACTTGTATTAACTTGAATTTTATATTCAATTATTTTCCAAACTTTTAGTTAGAATTCTTCAAAAATTCGATTATTATTTGAAAATAACTTTTAAAAGTAAAAATATAAATTTGATTTTTCGAGGAATTTATTAAAAATTATTTTAGAAACAATTGAAATCGTGTGAAGAATTTTATTATTTATGCAAATTATTGAATTCTTGCAACGAATTTCAATAAATTTTTTTAAATAATTGAATTTCTATAAAGAATTTTATTATTTATAAAAGCAATTGAATTCCTGTGAAAATTTTTTTATTTATGAAAATAATTGAATTCTTGCAACTAATTTCAATAGATTTTTTTAAATAATTGAATTTCTGTAAAAAATATTTTTATTTATGAAAATAATTGAATTTTTGCAACTAATTTCAATAAATTTTTTTAAATAATTGAATTTCTGTAAAAAATATTTTTATTTATGAAAATATTTGAATTTTTGCAACTAATTTCACTGAATTCTTTTAAATAATTGAATTTCTGTGAAGAATTTTATTATTTATAAAAGTAATTGAATTCCTGTGAAAATTTTTTTATTTATGAAAATAATTGAATTCTTGCAACTAATTTCCATAGATTTTTTTAAATAATTGAATTTCTGTAAAAAATATTTTTATTTATGAAAATAATTGAATTTTTGCAACTAATTTCAATAAATTTTTTTAAATAATTGAATTTCTGTAAAAAATATTTTTATTTATGAAATTAATTGAATTTTTGCAACTAATTTCACTGAATTCTTTTAAATAATTGAATTTCTGTGAAGAATTTTATTATTTATAAAAGTAATTGAATTCCTGTGAAAAATTTTTTTATTTATGAAAATAATTGAATTCTTGCAACTAATTTCAATAAATTTTTTTAAATAATTGAATTTCTGTAAAAAATATTTTTATTTATGAAAATAATTGAATTTTTGCAACGAATTTAAGTTTAGTTTCTTTCTAAATAATTGAATTTCTCTGAAGAATTTTATTATTTATAAAAGTAATTGAATTCTTTTCAATTTTTTTAAACAATAGAATTTGTTTAAAGAATTTTATTATTTATGAAAAATATTTAAATTTTTGCAACGAATTTCAGTGAATTTTTTAAATAAATGAATTTCTGTGAAGAATTTTCTTTTTTCTTGAAAATAATTAAATTCTTGTCAAGGATTTTATTAAAATGTTTGTAAATAATTGAATTTGTTTAAAGAATTTTATGTAAATTTAGAAGATTAATTCAATTACTTGAATTAATTTATTTAAAACTGTATTAAAAATAATTGAATTCTTGCAATGAATTTAATTATTTAGGAAAATAATGTAATGCCCATGAACAAATGTTATCAAAATTTTAGAAAATAATTAATTTCTTCCACAGAATTTTATGTAAATATTTTAAATAATTGATTTCTATCTAAAAAATTTTTTTCGAATTTATTTTTCATATAATTGAATACGTGTAAAATTTGAATTTATTGAATTTAATTGAATTCATGATATTAATTGAATTTTTGCAAAGTATTTGATTGATTTTTTTTTTAAATTGAATTCTTTAGAGAAATTTTATTCAAATTGTAAATATTGAAAATATTTGAATTTTTAGCGAAGGATTTCATTATTTGTGAAAATAATTGAATTTTGCAAAAAAATTTTCGAATTGTTTCTAAGAAGAATATTTATTAATAATTATTTTATTTCAACTATTAGCGAATTTAAATTTTAAAGTAGTTCAAATGAAAAAAGTAGCTTATAGTGTCACAAATTTAAAAAAAGTTTTTAAATAGTAGCTAATTGTAGAAAAAGAAAGTAAATAGTTGTTTTTAGTAAATGAGTGCGAAGCCTGACGAATTTATGTGTTTAAATAATAATTTTTCTTTTACGTTTTGCTAAAACTATAGGAAAATCCATCGGGTGTTCTATTAAAATCTAATTTTCCCGGGGGATAAAATCGCCTGGGCGCTGGAGTTGTTATTTGATTGTAATGAGATTGCGGTTTGGAGAGTGGACGGTATTCAGAAACGGGAGCAGGCGACCGATAAGGACCGGAATTATACGATTTTTGATAATGAGATGGAACATATTGTGGTGTTTGATAATTAAATGCTTGGCTCTGCAATTCATGGGATGGTTGAGATGACTGATGATATTGCGCTGGTCGTGGAGGTGGTGCTGGTTGATATTTTCTTTGCTGATATGGTTGCAGTTGATATTGAGATTCAAATTCGGCAGTTGGCGATTGATATTTCACTGAATTTGGATCATGATGATATTCATATTGAAATGTAATTTTTGGTTCTACTTTTTTTGGCGCCTCGACAATTTGAGGTTCGTATTGATTTTGAGTTTGAAAGCGAGAATCGTAAAATCTTTCCTTGGGAAATTGATAATCGGGTGGATTGTATTGGGGAAGTGGAACGTATTCTGGTTGCACTGGTTCCGGTGGTATTTGGGGTGGTGCCGTTGGTATGTGATCTCCTGATGCCTGCAAAAAGAAATTTTCTTTTTAGAAAACAAATATTTCTTTTTGAAGAAAAAATTATTTTGATAATTAATGGAATAAAAATTGAATTGAAAATTGAATTTAGTAAATTCAATTTTTATTCACTAAATTTGCTGAATTGAATTTAATTCAGTAAATTTAGTAAATTCAATTTTTATTCACTAAATTTACTGAATTAAATTTAATTCAGTAAATTTAGTAAATTCAATTTTCATTTTAATTCCGTAAATTTAGTAAATTCAATTTTCAATTCAATTCAGTAAATTTACTGAATAAAAATAGAATTTACTAAATTTACTGAATTGAATTGAAAATTGAATTTACTAAATTTACTGAATTGAATTGAAAATTGAATTCACTAAATTTACTGAATTGAATTTAATTCAATAAATTTACTAAATTAAATTTAATTCACTAAATTTAATTCACTAAATTTACTGAATTAAATTTACTAAATTGAATTTAATTCACTTAATTTACTGAATTAAATTTAATTGACTAAATTTTCGATTCTTTTTTTTTTTTGTAGGAAAAATACCTGAAAACCATTTTTCCCAGCAGTGTAGGTGACGGTTCTTCTTTCTCCATTGGGATCAATGTAAGAATATGATCCTCGACGATTGCCGAATTCGTCACTCTCTTCCTTGAATTCAACGCCGTCTTCCTGTTTATACGAAGCTCCAAAAGTTCCATCTCCTGATAAATATCGAGTGTCACTTAAAATTGCCGCATTCCGCGGCGATTCTTGATAGTGCGGATCTTGACAGTGACCAAGGCCTGCAACGCTCACTAGAAGCAACTGTATTTAATTTCCTCCATTAGAAATTAATTATTTTTATTAATTTTTATTATTAATTAATTTCTATTCACTTAGAAATTATTTATTTAATTTTTAAAAAAATTAATTTCTATTAAATTAATTTCATTGTTAATTAATTAATTAATTAATTGGAAATTAATACAGGGTTGCCACAAAAATTTAATTTTCTTTTTGAGGAAATTTTTTGAAAATAACTGAATTTCTGCGAAGAATTTTATTCAAATTTTTTTTTTCTTGAAAATAATTTAATTTCAAAGGTGAATTTTATTATTTATAAAGATAATTGAAATATTTTTTTAAATTTTACTTTTTAAAAATAATTGAATCTCTGAATTTATTTCTAATTTCTCCAAAATTTGTCAGAAATAGAAAAAATTAAAGGTTTTGTATTAGAATTCGTGGTAAATTGAATTAAGTAAAAATTAATATTAATGAGAGTTTTAAGTTTGATGAATTTAATGAATTAAATTAAATTAATGAAATAAATTATAAACCAAAATGAAATTAAATCCTTAGGATTTCGAAAAAAAGTAGAATTTTTTATTCAACACCAACACTGAAAATTGTTCTATTTTTGAAATCTGCGAACACTATTAAAATTAAAAAAATTTAATTAAAATAAAATTGAAAAAAATTGATTAAAATAAAATTGAAAAAAAATAATTAAAATTATTAATTTTAATCAACTTTGTCAACATTGTCACTGAAATGTCACGTAGCACTATATTAAAAAAACTGGATTAATGGGAATGAAAAAATAAAAGAAGAAACTTTATAATAAACGGAACTTACGAAAATTGTATGCATATTGGTTATAAGAATATTGAACAAGAGAATGAAGGATAGTGCTTGAGAAAATAACTATTGGGGCGTTTTATACATCAAGCGAGATCCCTCGTTTCTCAGGATCCCACAGGAGAAAGGTTTTTACGCCCTCTCATTTTTCACAGTCTATTATTACATATACAATATAAATATATATATACAACTAAATTTTTTTTTCTCAATTTTTTTTACATTTTTCTCCATTTTTAATTTTTTTTCCAAATTTTTATTTAAATATAAATATGAATGTTTTCTCTAAACATTTTATAATAAACTTCTTCGCATAAATTCAATTATGTTCAAAAATTGAAAAAAAATTCTCATTAAAAATTTCAATTATCTTTAGAAATAATAAAATTTTTCTCCGAAATTCAATTATTTTCAAAAAGTTTAATAAAAAATTCTTGGCAAAATTTCAATTATTTTTTATAAATTTTCTTCATTTTCAATTATTTATAAAATCTACTATTTTAATAAAATTTTCCAAAAGAATTTAATTATTTAAATAGAATATTAATAAAAATTTCCCAGAAATTCAATTATGTACTTATCATTTTTTTTTATAAATTTCTTCGCGCCAATTCAATTATTTTTAATTTTTTAATGAAGTTTCTCGAAGGCATTGAAATATATTCAGAAAATTAAAAAAAAATAGTTCTGAGAAATTCAATTATTTCGAAAAATTTTAAAGAAACTTCTTTTAAAAATTTTATTATTTTAAAAAATGTTGACAAAATTCTTTACATGATTTAGTAAATAAAATTTTCCTATATAATTCAATTATTTTCAATTTCAATACAATTCTTCTTAAGAATTCAATTATTTTCCGAGTTATTTTCACAAATCATACATTTCTTATGGGAATTCAATTATTTAAAAAAACTTACTGAAATTCGTTGCAAGAATTCAATTATTGTCATAAATAATAAAATTCTTTAAACAAATTCAATTGTTTAAAAAAATTTCTGAAATTCGTTGGAAGAATTCAATCATTTTCATAAATAAAAAAATTCCTCATAGAAATTCAATTATTTAAAAAAATTTACTGAAATTCGTTGCAAGAATTCAATTACTTTCATAAATAAAAAAAATTTTTTCGAGAATTCAATTATTTAAAAAAATTTGAATATAAAAGAAATTAATTATTTTCATAAATAATAATACTTTTTTTCCGGACTTCAATTATTTTCACAAATAAAATTCTTTACAGGAATTCTATTCTTTAAAAATTTTTTAAATAAAATTCGTTGTAAGAATTCAATTATTTTCATAAATAGTAAAACACTTATCGCAGAATTTTAATTATTTTAAAAAATTGTTGATAACAAATTTTTTTTTTGAATAATTTTACAATTAAAGAAAGTCGTAAATAAATGTAATACAACATTTTTTTGAGAATCTAATAATTTTTGGAGTGAATCAGAATAATTTTCAGGGTTTAGGGAAAAAGTCAAAAAATTTTCTTGGAAATCAGGGAAATGTCAGGGAAAAGAATTAAATTTTTGTGTCAACCCTGATAAAATAAATTTTTCTTCAATATTTCAATTGCAATAAAATTATTAAATTAGAATTTTAATTCACAAATATATATCATAATTGAGTGTGTTATAAATATATAATCACATTCAAAAAAAAAAATAAAACCGTAAAAAATGTAATTTATATGATGAGGTCCATAATGATTTTCCAATAAAATTTTATTCACCGATATTGGAAAATCGTGAAAAAATGTTTATAGGAAAAACATTACATGTAATAATTGGAAAATAATCATGAGAAAATTCAAAAATAATAGTCATTGGAAAATAATATTTTTTATCCATAATTAAAAAATGTTTATTCGTAAAATAATTACCGGATATAGAAAATGTAATTTAATTTTAGTTTTTTTTTATTTTATTAGGTATTATTATTTATTTATTTATTTTTAAAAAAAATTTTTTTAGAACTCAATCACCACACCTTTTTTGTAGGAATGATTCCACAAATGCATGACGATGATTTTATTATATATTGTCGTGAACTATCAGACCTTTTGACTTTCTTGTAAAATCCACATGTGCTGAACGTTCCTTTGAATTTATACAATAGGGAAACAATCGTAAATACGGTCACATTTATTGTTTTATACTGTCGAATAAATAAATAATAGTAGAAAATAAATCATTTTTGGAAAATTTTTCTAAAAGTTGAAAATTTTCTTTAAATAAATTAATGAATAAATTTTCTTTCTATCGTTATAATGTAAATAAAAAAATAAATAATGTAATAAAACAAATAACAACTAAAAAATTATTAATTATTAATTAATAATAAATAAATAATTAAATATATAAAATATAAATAAATAATTAACTATGAATAACAATTTTTAGACAATATAATATTAATAATAATATAAACTAAGTTTATTTTTCCGCGATAAGATGTAGCAAATTTTATAATTAGTGTAAATTAATAATTAAAAATAATAATGTTAATTTAAATTAAATAAATTTTGAATTATTTATCATTTATTGGCAAGTAAGGACATCTGTTAAATATTTATCTGCTGACGATTTCAACCGCAACTGATAAAAACCGAATAAACTTGGTTCAAGTCTTTGCTACAATACATTCAATGAATTTCAATTGTTATTTTTATTGAAAAAATATTATTTGCTTAAAATATTTTTTTAGAAAAATTGAAAAAATTATTTATATTATTTCATTGAATTTAAATACTAAAACTATGTTCAAAAATTTTTAAAAATTCTCGTCAAAATTTAATTATCTTTAAAAATAATAAAATTCTTCTCCAAAATTCAATTATTTTCAAAAATTTTAATAAAATTCCTTGCAAAATTTCAATTATTTTCCAAAAATTTTCCTCAATTCAATCATTTTCAATATTTACTACTTTAATAAAATTTTTCAAAAGAATTCAATTAATAAAAAAAAATTGTTGATAAACTTCTAAGCAAACATTAAATTATTTTCATAAATAATGAATATTAAATAATTGAATTCTCGTAGAATTTTCCAATAAAAATTGAATTAACAATGAATATTAATGAATATATTATTAAAAGCATTAGAGCATTAATTTTTAAAAATAATTGATAACTAAATTCTTTCGAAGAATTTTAATAAAATTTTTGAAAATAATTACATTTTTTGAAGAATTTACTAAAAACTGTATAAAAAATAATTGAATTCTTGCAACGAATTTTAGTAAATTTTTTTTTAAATAATTGAATTTGTTTAAGGATTTTATAAAAATTTAAAAGAATAATTTTCAATTACTTCGAATAATTCAATGAATACTGTTTTTTTAAAATAGTTGAAATCGTTTGAAGAATTTTATTATTTAAATAAACCATTATATTTATAAAAATAATTGAATTCTTGCAACGAATTTCAGTAAATTTTTTTAAATAATTGAATTTCTCTAAAGAATTTTATTATTTTTGAAAATAATTGAATTTTTGCAACGAATTTCAGTAAATGTTTTTAAATAATTGAATTTGTTTAAGGATTTTATAAAAAATTAAAAGAATAATTCAATTACTTCGAATAATTCAATTAGAACTGTATTTTTAAAATAATTGAAATCGTTTGAAGAATTTTATTATTTAAATAAACCATTATATTTATAAAAAAAATTGAATTCTTGCAACGAATTTCATTAATTTTTTTTAAATAATTGTGTATTGAAAATAATTATTAAAATCTAATAAATAAATGAGTTTTATTATTTCTTAAAATAATTGAATTCCTGAAAAGAATTTTATTATTTATGATAATAATGAAATTATTGAGAAGAAAGTTATAGAAAATGGATAAATAATTGAATTTCTGCGAAGTATTTTATTGTTTGTGAAAATAATTGAATTTCTGTGAAGAATTTCGATTATTTATAAAAATAAAAGAATTATGTCGATGAAATTTATAAAAGAAATTTATAAATCATTGAATTTCTGCCGCGGATTTTAGAAATTTTTAAAAATAGTTTAATTTCTGTAAATATTATTTATGAAAATAATGGAATTCTTATAACGAATTTTATTAATTTTTTTTTTAAATAATTGAATTCATGTGAGAATTTTATTACTTGTAAAAATAATTGAATTCCTGCAACGAATTTTATTAAATTTTATTTAAACAACTAAATTCTTTTTAGAATTTTTATTTAAATAGTATATTTTGAAATTTTTTGAATTTCAGCGAAGAATTTAATTATTTTTTGTGAAATGTAATTTAATTCTTGGAAAAAATATTTGAAGATAATTTCATTTTTCGAGAAATTTATTTAAAATTGTATTAAAAATAATTGAAATCCTCTGAAGAATTTTATTATTTATGAAAATAATTGAATTCTTGTAACGAATTTTATTATAATTTTTGTAAATATAATTTAATTTTTTTTTGAAAAATTTTATGTAATAATATTCTAAAGAAAAAATTAGTAAATAAATGAATAAATATATCAATAAATAATTAAATACATAAATAAATAAGAAAATGAAAAAGTATATAATAATAATAATAATAATAATAATAATAATAATAATAATAATAATAATAATAATAATAATAATAATAATAATAATAATAATAATAATAATAATAAAAATAATAGCAAAATGCAATTGTTAAAAATAAACAAATAAAAACAGTGCAATTAAAAATTGTCACGAAGACGCCGCACAATAATTTAATTATGTACATAACAGTAACGATTGAGAGTTGCCAATTATTTCTGTCCTCGAATATCACAATTAAGGATTCAGGACTAATATATTGTCCTTCTTTACAGATTAACAACTTTTTTTATTGGCCTTCTTTGGTCTTTAAAAAAGCAATACAAATCTTTTATATCGCAGTAACTTTAATTTTAAGGATAGAAAAAAAAATTCACAAGAACAAGATTCTTTTCATTATTAAATTAATAATTTTCTTTATTTTAAAATTTAAATTAAAATAAACTTTCTGTAAATTTAAAAAAAATTATATTTGTAAATATACAAATTTATGTCATGAAAAAAAAAA